ATCACGAACGGCGCAATCAATGCGAGAGGCACGAACGATCTCGCTGATACCTCGATTATCGTGGGTTTTTCCGCCGGAGCTAATTTTGCCGTCACAATCACCGACTACACAACCACTGACCAGCATGACACCGACGTATGGCGCTTCCGAGCAGGTCGCCAGCCCGGAATCCCAGCATTATGGGCGTACCACCGAAAGCGACATGACTTCAAATTGGAACGACGGTAAGAAGCAAAGCGATGGCGCCTGGCCCAGCAACCGCCGGCACCACCAATCGCCGCAGTGGTCGTTGAACCACCAAATGCACCCATCGCCGTAGCTCTAAGTGAGCCCATCGCCGGACCATCAAATCAAGTCGCTCCGCCGCCGCCGCCGCAACCAGAATCGTCGGCAATGCCTACAACCGAACAGCTCACCGCCGACGACTTCATGGATACCGAATCCGAAATATCCGCCGAAGCAGGTGGATAGGACCACAGCCTGAATGTTTTGCGACACAGCTCCACAGAAGGCGATGACGAAGCTACAGAGTGAGCCGCCGTGTATCAGAAAAGACAAATAGGAAAATTTGCTTCTCGATTACCGTGATTTTTTTCCCTGACGATTATTTTAAACTGCATTGTGAAATTCTCTGGCAACATTAAAAGAAGTGCCAAACCAATTTGTTGATTTTTTTTCAGTTAATTTTTGCTAGCTCAGAGTATGGGTTATTCAGATTTGATGAAGAAGTGAAAGTAGGATAGCTGTCGCATTTAGTTGACTTTTGGTCGATTAGAATAGGAAATGTGAATTTATTTCATTTTAGTGAATCCGTAAATTCAGTCTTAGGGGAGGGTGGTGAGCTGATAATAATTTTCATGCATAAAAATGATTTCATTCCACGCCAAAAGAACTGACAATCTGAATAAACAAATACTTCACCGACGGAAAATGCAATGCATTGTAGTTTTGACAGAATTGAGTTTGTTTGAATCATGAAATGTAAATATAACACGGTCGAGATGGAACGAACTTTGATGTAAGTTGCTTTGTACATGAGATGGAGACGGCAGAGAAATTATAAACGTAAGCCTAATAATCTGTGTTACCGACGCGATACCTCAATTCAAGTGCAATAATTTGGGCAAAAGTGAATTTGACAGCCGCCGTGTATGAAATGAAATGGATACCGCATGATAAACATTCATTAGCGAAGACACGAGCATACAACACATCCCCAGTGAAACAAGAAATCAAATCATCAAATTCAAATCAAATTGCCGGGGAAAAAGCACCCGAATTACCGAAGGAATTCCATTGAATTGAGGAATTGCCGTCGAAGAGCCATCCGCTATTGAATTTTTGCGAGAATTACCCCAAAGAGTGGCAGACTTAAACGTGAGTAATCCGATCGATTGACATAACCATGAAACTGATACATTTTGTATGAATCACAGTGCCGAGCACGAGGGGGCAAACTCACCGCCGTACGTACACATACGAGGAACAGTGCAATCACACGAGCACGCATGCCGTATATCGCTCCGTCGTACGAACACATGATGCAATCGCTTTGAGACACATATGTCACATGTCCTAAGCCAGACGTACGTCACACGCACACACGTCGTATCCAATACACGCCCATTGAGTGAATTTGAAGGAAAGGCTACTGAGAGCATAACCGAATGGACTGTGAGCCGGTCGACACCGGAGCTGCCGTCGAATAGTTCCTTCTGCCGCGAATCAAACTGAACCAACACACACAAATCAAAGGTTTGGTAGAAATAAGTGCCAACGTGAGCTCCAACTGAGCGTATTACCGTCGAATCGCAGTAAATCGACGACGATTGTGATTGCTCAATCAGACGCCACTTTACACCGCTGATTGAAGCAATTGGGCCGACAGCCAAGATATCCGTCGTACAGTATGGATCGGCCCCAACGTATTATTCCGACGAAGAGCATTCCGTCGATGATTTAGTTAAGCCAATTTAGTTTGTAGTCGAATCCATCTCAGACCGATTTGAGCATTGAGTAAAGTAACGTAAAAGTAAACAAGTTTTTTTATGTGAACCAATTCCGTCGCTCCGCTTTAACCTCAATATTTTTAGATTCTTCCAGCCGACAGTTATCGGAACTGTCGTGAGTATTTAAGAAACTGTAAAATTTTCTTTAGAGAAGATTTTCAGTTCAGGGTTTTGAGTCGAAAAAGTATGAATTGGTTAAGAGAGCGTATGATTTTGGTTTGGATATGGTATCTTTGAATGATGTGCGTGTGAAGGGCAGTGAAGGGTCAGTTAGAGGATTCGCTAGGGAATTACCGTGTGTATCTTTCAGGAGTGAAGAGTGGAAGAGCTAACTGGGGCGTCGGATTTCTAATTCATAGGAATTTGGAATCGTCGATTGTGTGTCATGGATTTGTGAATGAGAGAATGATGTGGATTTCAATTAAGATAGCCGGTGTAGTTTACCGTTTTGTGAGTGTGTATTCGCCATGTGATCCAATAATCCAATTCGCCATGTGAGGGTGTGAATGCGGAAATCATGAATGATTTTTATGCGGATTTGAATGATATTGTTTACCGTAAGGGGATTGAGAAGGTGATTGTGTTGGGGGATTTGAATGCAAGAGTCGGTAGAAATAATTTGAATTATGTGAATGTGTTAGGGAAGTTTGGCGAGGATATGGTTGCGAATGGTAACGGAAAGAGATTATTGGATTTTTGCCAGAGTTCGGGTTTGATAATTACTAATTCATTTTTTAAGCATAAGAAAATTCATATGTATTCGTGGGAAACCCTGGCCAGAATCAGAAATCTCTACTCGATTACGTGATTGTGGAGGATAGCTTGCGCAAGACAGTTCTAGATACGCGTGTGTATAGAAGCTTTGGCTTGGATTCTGATCACTTTTTGGTAGCAAGTAAGTTACGTATCACGAAGGGAGTGGCAAGTAGTTATCGGAAGCCAACCAATAGAGTGAAAGTTGAGAAGTTGAAAGATGCGAATGTTGCGAGAGAGTTTGTTAGAAAATTAGAAGAAAAATTAACGCAAGTGGAAATAAATGAAGCGACTGACATTGAGTATGAATGGAAACAAGCAAAATGAGCCTCCGACGTGGCCTGAAGCCAGACAAAAACGAAAAAGCAAAGAAGGACGTGAACGCCGAAGTCACCAGATTGATTGAAAATTTAGTACTCGAAATGACACGGTGTATCATTCTCGCGACTCTGAACATACATTGTTTCTTGAGCCACTTCGTTGCCACTGAATCTGACGAAGCCGTTGCCGCATTCTCTTGCCAGATAGATAATCGACAAGAACTTTTTTTGGACTTTTATCGCGGTGTTCAGTTCGTTGGGTCCGGTACAGATGGTGGATTCAAATTGTACGCTCCGTTGAGTGATATGTGTCGCAGATACAACGTCATTGCACCCAATCTGACCGGTTTTGGCAACATCGTTCAGTATGCGTTCCAGATGTACTTCACCAATTTCAAAAACAACATGTGGATGCATGCATACAAACGGATGAAGAAATATTGCAAAGTGTATCAACAGGACAAGAAGATCATTACGGACACACTGCACTATCTGTTTTACGAAAAGTCAGAGCGAACCCCGCACCCAAATACATCGAGAGGATCCGTACCGAGCTGCGTCTAATCAGATTTGGCGATGGAAAAGGCTACTTTATGAACATGAAAGAAGGCAACTTAAAATGGTTCAAATACGTTCCGTTGTTCATGCGCTTGCAACAGTGAGTGTACAATGAAATATTTACAAATATTTTTTACAACAAAATCGATCGTATGGAACCGATAGCAGTAACATTTTGAAATACTGATCAAATTGTTCACTTTTTTCCACTACAGATTCATTCGTGAAAATAATCGGCAGCGACGAGCTGAAATTCGACGAGGGGAACGCCCGACGCATCGAAAGATTAAGAATTTCACAGTGATCCCATCGTCACCTTTCAAACGGCATTACATCCGAATCGATCGTGATGCATTTCACTGTTTGCTGAAGGTTGAAAGAACGCCAAAGAACGAACATTGTGCTCAGGTTCAATTTGATAATGCTATCATAACGGATGGAGTGGCTGCATGCTTTCAAATGTTGCGCACAAAAGTTGTGTACGAAACCGACGAAGAAGAGCGTTTGAAGGATATTCAGCAGAAACTGCGAAGTGCACAGCAGGTGTATGGAATCGATCCCAGTCTTCGTTTGGTTTTGGGCGGTGTACGGCGCAATTATGATGGTACTGAAGACAATATTCGTTTGACAAATCGACAATATCATCGCCTTATTGGATACCACCAGCGCGAAAAAAGCGACGCGTATTGACCCGCCAAATCGATGAGCAAATGAAAAGTTACCGCGAAAGATTCGATGTTCGGCCAGGTCCACGCTCAACAGATTACAACGTGTACGCAGACCACATTCTTCGTCACTTCAATGCAAAATTCGACGCGTACACACAGTGTGAATACGCTCTGCAAGATCTGTTGCAATACATTGCAACCGAAAGAGAATTGGACAAACTCGCATCGCAATTGATTAATGGCAAACAAACGTTCGTCTTCGCCGGAGATGCAACGCTGCCTGGAAGTAGTTCGCTAGCCAAGGGCGTTGATTATGTTGAAGTGTTTTATCAATGGTTCAAAAATTTCAAAATTCTCGAAATTTCGATATTTGGACCATCCGTATAGGGTCCAGAGCTTCTGAAATTCAAAAATTAATAAACAGCAATGTTTTATAATCTTCCGATTTTTTTTGGTGCGCGAAACAGACCAATATCAACATTGGAGATGTTAATATTATAATATCAACTGTGCAACTGTAGAATGGTCGATATGTTCAAATTTATAGAGTTGTGAAGCAATTTAACGAAGAAGCTGAGTAAAGCACGTCTGTTTTCGCCAAAAAAAATTTTCCATTCGCCATTCTATTCTAAAATTAAATTTTGTTTCATACTTGAGTAATTAGCGACTTCCACGTGCCGTGTGTAGATCAAATAAACGCAAGTGTTTGTTGTTCAAATATTTAATTCCATGTGTTATCTCAAACGCATATAAATTAAACACAATCTTTTTTTCTTAAGCAGAGTCAACACATTTATATCTTTAGACAACACGCGTACTTTTCACTCATTTTTTAAAGGTATTTCAAGGTCTTCTGATTTGTATAAAAAAGCGGATTGCAGAAATACTGGCTAATTCAAAGTTGTGTGTTCAAGTGAAACTCATTAAAGCTAACCTTAAACTGATCAAAATGATGGTAAAAGTGATCTTCGTCTTAGTAGCAGTCCTATTGCTTCTTGCATTTGTCAACAACGTTTCAGGTAAGATTTGAATTCAAATTTGAATATGCGTCTTGGCAAAATTAGTTATTTATTTTTCGATTAATATAGGATATTGCATGGGAGCTAAAAACACCATTATGGAATGGTGCAGTGGTGGCGGCGAGGCAAACAATTGCAAACAATCGTGCAAAACTGCTGGCTACGGTAATGGATGCTGTGACCCCAGTAAGAAGTGTTTGTGCAACTACCTTTGAACAATATAAATATCACAAAAGATGATAAAGTTTTTACCTTGATTCTGTCAAATCTACATTCAATTGTTTTGTGAGAAATATTATTGTGAAACATTTTTTGATTCATTAAATAGAGAAATGATTACAGCGATAGCTCAACTTGTCGAACATGCATATCATTCCTGTTTATCTTTTTTTGCTTCATATATATTATTTACCTTTCTTAACTGCGTGATATGCTAGTTATCTCTCAGCCTAGGAAATATTGAACTGTTTTTTTCTTTCTTTCCAAAAGTGATATTTTCGTTGATATATGATATTGGAAGAGTTTTTTTTTCGAATGCTTTAAGTTTATTAAACTAACCTTTTCATATTGCAAGCGAATTAAGCAAAAATGACTTCGTTATTGATAGTTATAGGTGAAGTTGTCTTTAAATAACTTTCAGTAAATAATATAGCAAAGAATAATGTTATAGCCATACGGTAAGTGAACTTAATATGCCGAGGAATATGCTTCTTGATTATTTTCAGTGATATTCACACAATGAGGAAGGATAAAAAATGGAAGAACGTTGTCCATTATATTGAATGCAATAGGGCTATTATCACTCGCAATGACAGACTGCTGCATCAGTGCATAACAGCACCATAACATAGTTTTTTTTCTTCAATTAGCCATATTCAGAGATGTAACGTCCCCGCATGTCAAGCTGTGTAAACTATCTGTCGCCCAGGAAGATGTTTTAGACGGAACAAATATTTAAAATCTTTATAAACTTGTTGATCTATAGGTCAAGTTCATTGTATTGTAGATTTTGATTTAGCTATTGACGATATGAGCACTGGCACAAATAAATGGAATCTGTGTTCAGAGTGGAGTATACATCAGAGCTTAAAATAACAGTGGATCAAGTCCAAAATGGTGAACCAAGATTTGAAAATGTGAATCAAAAAATTCCAAACGGTGAATTAGAAATTCATCAATAAAATATGAATTTAACTCGATTTAACGTCTATTTAAAAAAAATTCCCGGTAAGCGCGACGTTCAAACGGTGAATTTATTTTATGTGATGAATATTGCGGTTTCAATCGGTTTATTCGAATTCAGCCGCTGTATTGTTTGTATTCTACTCATTTCCATTAATATCTGTGATGTCAAACTCATTTGACATATTTTGGGACGCACTCCTGAGAATAAAGAGATGGTTACAATATTGAAAATCATAGATTTCGCCAGGTTAGAAAAAAATACTAAGCAATGTTTTTGCTTTCAAAAATCATTTCTTCTTCGACCAAATTCTGAGCACAACTTGACAGCGATTCCGCGGTGAGTATGAGTTTAATATGCATGAACATCTTGAAGAAGCAACGCGATCAAGTAAATCTTTTTGTGCCAAAGCCTCCACTTTTTCTCTCAAAGTCAATGATTTTTTCGCCTAAAGCCATTTCAGAGACTTTTTATCCCAAATTGATGAAATCCGAACACGCCCAGGAATCGTTCACTGAATAATTCGACGTCAACTATCGCATATCTTCCGACATGGTACATTTTTGAAACGAACCTTTTAAAATAAAAAGTAGGTCTTTTTGGGGCAAAACGCTCCACTTTTCCTTCCAAAGTCAATGACTTTTTCACTTGATGTAGCGACATCTGAAGTGAAAATTCATTTGTTCGTCTCCATTGATACATAACAACCAAGGGTATGTTTCTTCTTGTTTACTTTGACATTTCTTTGTAACAGATATTAATGGAAATGACTATACAATTGCTTAAAATGGCTACTGTGAATTGAAATCAGATGAAAAACCTCTAGACGAGGTTAAAATGGAGTGACGCTCCTGTGCGTGGATTTACCACTCAAAATGACTGATATCATTTTGAATGACGCTGGGACGCTGTATTATCACTACATACGAGGTTCAAAAATATTTTTCGCATTCACTATTGTGAAAATTTACTCACAATAAGGAAAAATATCTTGCGTCACGACTTTTAGACGGCAAAACACTTAAAAACTTGATCTAAAACCAAAAGTCGTGACGCAAGATATTTCCCCTTATTGTAAATAAATTTTCACAATAGTGAATGCGAAAAACACTTTTGAACTTCGTACCCAGAGATAATACAGCGTCAAAGCGTCACTTAAAATGATATCAGTCATTTTGAGTGGTAAATCCACGCACAGGAGCGTCACTCCATTTTAACCTCGTCTAGAGGTTTTTCATCTGATATCACTACTTTTGTAAGGCAATTATTCTCGGAAAAAATACACTTTTGCCAGAAATATGTCTATTTTAAGGTCTTATCATTGGAAAATTGTAATTTTTCGGGTAAAACATTTGCATATACATTTCACAAGTTTTGTAAATGGCAAATTTCCACTTTCATTAAAAAAAGTCCCATTTTCCCCTCATTGGACAGATGTAAGATATATAAAATGTGATTAAATTTCAGAATATCCATTAAAAAAGTTTTGAAGTAATTTTAGACACATTACTTCATTGAAATATATTAATTTCCAACCACCAAAGCTCTGGGAAGTGCATTTTTTATGTATCCCCCGAACAAAAGTTCAATTTCATACATTCAGATGCCAAAATGCCGATTTATGACCAAAATGACAACGAAATGGATATTCAAATGTTCGTGAACTCCCATTATTTTCACGAAAAAATAGCAGTTTTATAAGATCAAAATGTCGTCAGAGGTCTATTTCACGTGTTTTCCGAACAAAAACATCATTTTCAGTGAAAATAGAGCAAAAATTCACTTCAATCCGACCTATTTTTCGACCATGAAATGGCCTCAGATCGCATTGTGACTACTTTTAATCGATTGCTCGTCGAAAATTGAGCGGATATGGTCTTTCGTGAGCCTTTTTCAGCCAGTAGATGCGTATTTTTGGCAGCAATTTCATCGTAGAATACGACTCTTCGTACAAATTCCGTTCATTGATGAGCTGCCTATGCCCAGAACTTCGAAATACGAATTTTCCCGGATATGTGGCATATGCCATTCTGTTGGTATGGTGGCCGGCTACAAACGCTCAGTTTTTGGTAAAACATTTTAGGGCTGATTTTTGAGAAATCGCGTTTGGTGTGAAATTTAAGGGGGTCGATTTTTCATAAAAATCGACTTTTTTCTTTTATATCATATAAACATTGGCATGTGTGTATGGAATTTTTTGAAGGTCTTCTCAAATGATACCGAGCTGAGTTTGCTCGATGAGTGTCTGAGTTGATCTAGTGTGCGAAATAAATACTTGAAAAAATCGTATACATGCAGGCTAGTGAAGCCATAGCCAGCTCTCCTGTAATGCAAATGTCAATCTGAGGACGGGTTTCGATGTGGCCCGACACCAGCTACAGCTTGGGCATATCGGCACCGGAATCTGTGGGGGTCTAAAAAGTTTCCGGACAAACGAACGAACGAACGAACGAACGAACGAACGGACGCACAAATCAAAACTTTCATAAAAAATCAAGATCAAACTGCCAATGCCCATATTTTTTCGTTTTTGGACCAATCGGGGCACTTAGACCGGCGTTGGAAAGGTGGCGAGGCGGATCTTCTCTTGGACACCTCAGACCACCCCCTGGATACCCCCTTCGTAAGATATGGGTATAGATTTGAAAATTTATCGAAATTTTCCAACCGCTATATTTTTGCCTAGACCACACTTAAGGCATGGGGGATATGGTGTTTCCGACTATTTGGGCCAAGACCTTTCCAACGGTACCTAACATGCCGGGGCCCAAATAGTGTCCTGGGAAAATAGCATATTACTGTATATATACTCGTGACGCAAAAACTGGCATTTTTTGATATTTGGCTTGAAATGCACAGTCTATGGTGCGTCACTTGTCGGACTATCGTCCTCCGTGATACAACACAGGAGCACGCTAAAACCAATTGCATGCATATTTTTCCAATGTATTGAGGGGAACTGTAAATTGGCCGCTGATGTTTTGGTCGCCGGCGAAAAATCACGTTCGGCCGCAGCGGCCAAATTTCATTTTTACACAATTTTAGTTTTGGCCGCTGCGGCCGAACGTGAATTTTCGCCGGCGACCAAAAGCTATTTTTCGAAATTTTATCCTGGTCGCAGCGGCCAAAATGCATTTTCGGCGGCGACCGAATTGAAATTTTGAAAAATCGCTTTTGGCCGCTGCGGCTAAAACGCATTTTCGACGGCGACCGAATTGAAATTTTAAATAAAAAGAATTACATTGGTAATCCCTAACTTTTCCGTACCGTTGGCCTGCGTTGTCCGTAGGTACTTTTGGTTATTTTTTGTGAATTTTCTTGAAATAAAGGCAGTGAAAATAAAATAATAAAAATAAAGTGAAAAATCGGTCACTTTAACTAAAACTTCGGCAATTTTGTATGAGAGGTACCCGCAAACCGTACCTGATTGGCTTTAAACTTTCTGAGGTTTCATTTTTTGGAGATAAAATAAGATTCTGAAAGTTTCATGTTGATGGCATTTGCAGAAATTTGGTTTTTGGCCCTTAATTTTTTCCAAGAAAATTTCGACAAAAATTGAGGACAAAAAATCAAATTTCCGCAAATGCGATCAACATGAAATTTTCAGAATCTTATTTTTTCTCCAAAAAATAAAACCTCAGAAAGTTTGAAGCCAATCGGATTCGATTAACGGGTACCTCCCATACAAAATTGTCCAAAAATCGGTAATTTTAGTCAAAATTTCAAAACTTTTGTATGGGAGGTACCCGTAAATCGATTCCGATTGATTTGAAACTTTCAGAATCT